ATAAAAATTTCAGTAACTAAGATAATCTACATTATTGATTAACAAGCCAAGTTATAAACAAGAATTAAAATAAGTAACATAATCACATCATATAAGATCACCACAAATTGCATGCATGATCCCTAACCATCCGATCCTTCAATACTCCTAACCGAACCAGTAGGCTATTTCACAGAACCAAACCACATGTATGGTTCCAAGCTCACCATCCATGGTAGGACTACCTGACCAAGGTGTCATAAACCATTTCTGGACTACTATTTCCCCCTTTCCCCTATTACAAGTAACTGGGGTGTCGTTACTCCAACACCGTATCCTACGAATGCTAAGGAGCATAGTCTCCAACTCCGCACCCTTTTGAGTACCAAGGAGAGTAAGTCTCCAACCCCATACCCATTTTCGGGCACTAAGGAGAGTAAGTGCTGCACCTGGCATCTCAAGGTGCCAGCAATGCCATATGAACTTAATCTTCACTATCTCTATTAAGATGATCTCCCACCCTCTAATATGCCACATTTCACTACATATCTCCACTTGAACATGCATAAACAACTTTCTAAACAATATAACAAAATCTTACCATTTACTTCAAAAATATAGAATTTCACAAAGCAATACTCCACTCATTTTTCTAAAATAGTTAACCTTTAAAGAATTTATACATGTATACTCAACAATTCATAGAAAAGCAACTTGAGAATAACTTATACAAGATAATAATAATATAATTTATCTAGTTACATTAACCCTTTTGTTACTAAAAGGGTTACCCGTGGTACTAATTCTCTTCTTGTGTCAAGGTAAGTCTTCCCATACCACAATTTATAACAACAAATACTACATATTAATTTTCAATTAACACAAGCACTATTAGCTAATAATAACCTCCCAATTCTCCCACTTCTCACTCATATTCTCAACAAAGAGGCTTGTTAAGATTACAATTTGTTCACACAATCCCTTTAAACCTCCTTCTACTTTATCACAACATAAAACTTAATATCTCAACTTATCACTCTTCAACACCTTATAATCAAGTCAGGGCTTGATCCAAAATTCACCAAACAAGAAAGTAGCTTCCTATTACCCCATATCCAAGATCAATAAACCTAAGTTAAACCTTTAGAGTCAATAGAAACCTTCAAAACATTGACTCATGGCTTAATCCAATCAGACCAAATTCTCACTCTTCCAAATCCCATGGAAAATGAGATGAAAAGGTAGAGGAGAAGGGTAGGGAACTTACTCAAGAGTTTGAAGGCTCAATTGTCTTTAAAATCCTCCCAAATTAATACCCTAGCAGTGCCCAAAGGTACCCCCTTCATGTTCTATAGGTTTTCCACCCCAAAATCTATCAATTTCTGATGATTCCTGAAATTTTAAGCTGCTGGCTATGCCATGCGCTGTAGTACACATCACGCAAGCCGCGACTCATGACGCAGTGAGCAACAAGTTGATTTTGCTCCCCCCAATGCCTCTCGACTTGATCTAACTTTCATCCTAACTCAATTTAGAGCCAAATATGACCTAAAAATCTAATTAGCAACCCAAAAACATAATTAAATAAATTAATCATATTTTTAACTAATTTATCCCTTAATTAATCAACTTTTCTAGATTTGAAGTTTAGGATGTTATAGGATGAGTATCATATAAATCTTGAGACAAAGGGTAAGAGTTTATGATGAATGTATATAAGTTACCAACTGCTATCCATGAATATATCACACCAAACACAATACGCTAGATCTCAAAACTTGAGAAACTAATATCAAATTATAAAGTCTGCCTAACTTTACCTATAAACAACCATAATCATTACATATGATCCACCACACATAAGCAATCAAGATACTTGAGCTCTTAAAATTGTCTTCAATACATAATGGTAATTTTAAAAAAACCTTTGAAATCTTTAGCAAATATTTAGGATCCCAAATTTCTTTCAAAAGTTAGTATTAAAATATGGTCAAAAAAGCATTTTAAAGATTAGGAAGCATAGAGAAGTAAATCACAAAGTTACAAGCAAAAATAGGGCAAAACAGGTCATTTTACATGTCACTGCATAATAGCACATATAACTTTTCAAGTTGAAATTCCAATACATGTCATTTTCACATCTAATGTCTAATCAAAGTAACTCAAGTGCTCACATGAAGTGTATTTGATAATCTAATAAATGGCGCAAGTTTCATATCAATCTAATGGTCCATTTAAAATTTGGATACTCGAATGCATAAAATCAATTTTGAACACCATTTTCAACCATAAAAGTGCCAAAAACTAGAAACTTGTGCTATTAGCCTGATTTGGGGATTGAAACAAGTCCAAGAGACTTAAGTACACTTGATTAAATAGTTAAGCAACTAATAACACATCAAAACTAAGATTTGGCCACTTTATATCCCAATTTCACAAAAACAAGGACTTATATGAAATTTTTCCAAATTTCATCCTTAGGACAAATCTACACAGCCTATAACATACAATAATTATTATAATACAATAAAACCCATAGCTTACACTTGTATATTTATTTTATCCTTTACTGTAAGTGTCATATAAAAAATGCACTCTCGGCTAAAATAGCTCAAATCTTCACAATATACAAGTGTAATACTATTATTCATGCTTTCATATTACACCTCACATGACATACATAAATCACCACATCATGCACCTATAACCAAATATTAGTCTTTACTACAAGTGATGTAACAAACATAAACTCTGGGCTAATTTTACAATACACTCCCACATAAACACAAGTGCAAGACCCAATTTCATAACATCATACAACTCCACAAGAGTGTCAAAATGTATTGTAATAAGACATATTATTTACACATATTTATTATCTAATTAAGACCATTTTACACACCCAATAAGCTTTCATATGCATTCATATCACATTCTTAGTATAAATTTAATTTGCCTAAGTGTTGAATTACATCCATTAGGGGTATTTTGGCACTTGTTCACCAAAATGAGGTTAAGCTTGAGATTTATGTCTTTTAATGGGCCAAGATAATTAGTTAAAGTAGTTTTTATTAATTCATCCTAGGTTAAGAGTGATTAAAAAAATAAAACATTTTAAGGTTGTTCTAGCTACGGCTAATTGCCCCTGTTAAACAAAAATGACCCTTTTGACTTTGGTTTGACTTTTTTCAACTCTAAATGTTTTCCATCCTTCCCAACAAATACCTTTTATGCTAATTTACAATGGTTAAATGACCTTCAATTCTAAACTTGGTTTTGAGATTGAATGATTTATGGGATCCCATCCTTACAATGTTTTCTTAATTAACCTTATGATTTTTTAAATAGCTAGGGTTGATCCTTTTAGCCTTGATCACTACTAAAAAAATGAAATTTAGTGAGGGACTCTCCTTGATCACTACTAAAAAAAATGAAATTTAGTGAGGGACGAGTCCCTCACTAAATGCCATTTTTCTTTGCTAAATTCATAGCTAGAAAGGGCTTGCTAAATTTAATAAGGGATCTTATTTCCCTCACTAATTAGTGAGGAATTCAGTCTCTTGCTAATCCCTTGCTAATACTGTTCAAAATTTGATAACTTTAATGAGGGATTAGTCCCTCAGTAATCCCTCATTAAATATGCCTATATTTAAAAATAGTGATGTCACATCACCTACCATGTGTGCATCAACTTGTGACATGTCACTAACAACCTCGTGCGTCATCAACCGCTATGTCACCTGCCATCTCGTGCCCTATCACCGACCATATGCATGACAACTCATGACATGTCACTATCCACATTGTGCCATATCACCTACCATCTCGTGCCCCATCACTCACTACAATCCCTCACTAAATTCCCTCGCTAATTAGCATTTTTCTAGTAGTAGATATCTTTTCATGTTGATTAAATTGGTTGGAATTATCATGGTAATTTTGGCTTAAGTGTGTGCAATTATGTGTTTAAGTATTAGAAGTTTTACAGAGCTCCCTCCAATCTTTTCACCTCCCCTTCTTTCTTTTCTATCTTCTATCATTTTCGTGACTTAAAAATCACAAATAGAACAATCACAGTTATATCAATCCATAGATGTGAATATTTAAATATTTTTAATAAATTCAGAAAAAACTCATAATTTATTCTAATGACCTCCAAAAGTTATGAATTAACACTCTATGGAAAGCTTGAAATGTATCCTTTCAAATGCCCTATTCCAAAGTAATTTCATTTCATCTTTCAATTTATCCCTCAAATAAATTAACTCTTATTATTGAGAAAAATTTAGTTTGATTAAATGTGTTGTCACATTTATCCTTCAAATTCCTTAAACTTTCACATTATAGGAGAGTTCTCATGATTAATCCTCCATCATCAACATCAAATAGCTTAATTAAAAAGTCTTGAGATATTATAATAGGCTATTATCTATCAAGTCTATTGCATTTATGGGCTGACACAGGCCGAGAGTTAGGGGGTCCATTAGTAAGCTTGTATGTAGCCCATTGTGATACATATTACTTGAGGTTTTAGTATTCATTGTTTTGTGTTTTTTAGGTGTAATTAATAAGGTTTTTATTGTGATGAAATTCCTATTTCATTGTAAGGGTACATATGTAATGAGCAAGCAATTTCTAGTTATGTTAACTATTTGTTTTGAAGGTAAAAATTTATTAAAAATATTTTTTAATTTTAAATGAGGGAGTACACTAAAAGTATCCAAATCCAACAAATCATGCACAATAATTAACGGAATAATGAAAACATGAAATTGTGTGTACATTTCTGACTTGAGCAGGATATGAACAATATATATGGTCTAAAGATAACAAGTATCAAATACATAACACTACAGAACCAAAGGTTAATCCTTTGAGTCCAAAAGCAAAAAAATAAAAGTATGAAGATATAGAGGCCCTAATAAAGAAGAAATTAATGAAGAAAAGTACAAATGGATCATTCTATTTTGAACCATGCATTGAAGAGAATGAAATATATATATATATATATATATAAGGAACTACTTGGCTACTTGTTGTTCCTCATCAACATGGTTTAGTGTAGGAAGTGCCTCAAAATCGACAGATGAAGCAAGTTCAAGCTTTTGAGATTCATTCTTCTTCATGGAAGAAGCTTTGGACACATAGGAATAGCACCCTTTTTCCTTGAACAACTGAGCAAAATGGTGCTTACAATAAAGAAACCCATCAAGTGATGCATAGTTTGATGGGCTCAAAAAACATCCTCCTTGAGCACACCTAAAGCAAGACTTGTGATAGAATTCTCCTTCCATAATCACCTAGTTGTTGTCAATAAAATAATCATCCCACAATTCGTTAATTAATATCTCATCTCATTTTAATCACTTTTTGAAATAGTTGATCAATCTAAATTGAGTTGGGTTAGATTGCCAATCCCTGTGTGAACCACATTCCCTTGGTATGGCTGATGAATATTATATTGTTTAGGTTGGTTTTGGAGGTATTATCAAGATTCAATTTTATATAATTTTTATAATTTTTGAATTTTTTTTATTTTAATGTAGTTTAAAATGAAGACAGTTTTATAACCAAGCAGTTGTTCAAATATAACATTTGCAAAATTACAAATGAAAATGTTTAAACTCAAACCATTCCAACTAAAATAGAACTATCTACCTTGAGCCATAAGACTTCAACTCAAGATTTTACATAAAAAAATAAGAATTGCTAAACCATTTAACTCATCTACATATGGTAACCATTATTTTTAAAAAAAAGTTTAGGTAATTTGGATGCTGGGACTCACCAAGACATGCCTCTAAATTTAAAGAGTACTTACAAAAATACTTAAAGATGGCCCACCAACAAGGTAGTAGGCAATCAATATTTTTTTAAAATATGATTCTTCTTAAAACAACCAAGTTGTTGCCTCTATAATCAAGTCTAGCTCAATTTTTAGGCTTCAAATGGCAGGGCTTATACATGTTCATGTTGTAGCCAGACTCAGTTTCATTTTGGGCTTTAGATGTGTGCCAAATATTTACATTAATAACACAAATATTTTGTTGTTTATCTTTCAAGAAAAATGTATGTTGAGATTTTTTTGGTGTTTGTGCGTGTGTGACATAGAGAGAGAGGGAAAACAAATTAAAACAAACCTTTCAAGTGGGTAAACAGTTTTCTTGCAAGAAGAGCATTTGTCCAAGGTTCCTGAGAACGTAGCTGACAATTTGCTTGGTGCCCTTGTCTGTACATTCAAACATTTCAAAACCATGCAACAATAGTTAAATGATCACTAAATCGATGGAATTATATTACACACACACAAAACTTGATTTGAAAGCCAAGGCATTTAACATACCAATTCACTCTTTCCAGCTGATTCAGAATCAATATGATCATGAAAGAAACATCATTAATTCTTGCTTAGCCTTGAAATGTGTTAAAATAGTGACAACATAATTTAACGTGATATATATATATATATATATAAACAACTCACTTGATAGGGATCTCCTGGTGAGACCCCCAGTGCTCTTAAAAGCTGTTCAAAATGAGGCTTGCAGTACAACACTCCATCCACCGACGAGTACGTGCTTATCTGTATCATATTCCAAAGCCACAAAATTTTTACCCTTTTTTAATGTCAAGATGATGCGTACAAGCAGATTCTTCTCGATATAGTTCATCTGTGGATTTATTTACTCTTTTTTTTTCATGAAAATATTTTTATGGCTTGAATCCTAAAAACTTACCCCATAACATAACAAGATATCACATGATTTAAAGTGCACTTATTTCTTGTATTTACAAATTATTTAGGGAAGATTATGAATAGATCTCGTAACACATTTCTCTACAACTAAGTCCTGTAAAATTTAGAAACTACAACAAAGTTCCTTGAGACTTGAGTGTAATTTATAGTTAGAATTACAAAGTCAATATTGTCCTTGTTAATTTTGTTTTCATTTACAATTGGAACTTCAAATTTTATAGTAAAAATTTGTAATTCACAGGTTGAATTTCTTGTTTAACACTTAATATAAGGCATCATTATGTCCAGAGACTATATGTTATATCAAGTAGAGAACATGAAATTTGACTTGTGAATTATAAATTCTTACTTGTAAATTATGAAATTGCAATTGTAACTTGTAAGTGAAAGTCAAATTAACAGGAGCAATATTGTCTTTATATACCAACCTCAATTGTATTCAGGTTCTAAAGAACTTGATAGTAGTTTTTGAATTTTACATGACTTATTTCTTGTACAAGACCTATTCATAATTTTCCTAATTATTTATTAATGAAGAAGCTCTCATAATAGGTTAACCATTAAATCTTGTGTATATGTTCTAAGCACTATGAGAGAAATCTCTATAAGTATGAGATCAATCCTTACCAATTGAATCAACTTTCACAGAAGTAAGCATAATTAATAGAGCTTTGGTCCACTTATATCGGGAAAGTTTTCACTATCATTTGCTTTATAAGTAAAAATGATGTTGTATTTGAAGTGTGAATCCAATAACATATCAAAATAGATAATAAAAATGTATAAAACATGATTAAACTATACTAAAAAAATCTATCATAAAAAGTATGTTGAATGCAAATATCTCTTTTGTTGTTGAATGTATGTTTTCCTTTTATTTATTTACTTTTTTTCCTCTTTTGCTCCTTGTTGTGTTGGATGATAGGGTACATACCGCAAGGACACCATTGCACTGACTACATTTAAAGCAAGTCTTGTGATAAATAATTCCATCTACTGAAACAGAATCCACAAAATGAGCAGTTTTATCACAAGCCTTGCATTTTTGTTGGGTTCCAATGAACGACATGCTGTTTAATCTTCACTTCCCCTTTTCTCTGAGTTTAATAATAATTTGTTTGTCTAATTGAGAGGAGAATGATCTTCTTCATTAAATCTAAAAAACCAAAAAATTTCAGGTAATAAAAGAAGTTGAAGTGGTTTCTATTCTAGTTATCATCATCCTGTACCATCCCTAGTAATAAAGTGCGAAATTGAAGGAACTGCAATGAACTTAATCAAATTGGTGGAGAAGGTGAATCCATGTATGCCATTAAATGTCCATCCTCTTATTTTTTATTGGGGTCATTCACCATCACACACAATCTCCTCTATATTTAGATTTAAACAAATATGGAAATTTTCTGACCAAGTATCTGTCTCATTTTTACTTCTGCTTGACTTTAAAAGTTATGTTTTTAATTTAATCAGGATAATATAATTTTTAGATCTTAAACCTTCTTTTATTTATCAATTTAGTCCTTAAATTTAAATTCAATTTAACTGAATGTTTGTAACTTATCAAGAAATTATAGAGAATAGATTGTATTGAGTCAAAATGATATAAGGATCAAGTGAGTTAAAATTTAAGGATTGAATCAATAATTAAAAAAATTTTAAGAACTAAAAGTGATATTTTGCCTTTTTAATTAATTACACTAGATATGCAGTACAAAAATGTGCATTAGACATTTGGAGGCCTTTTTTTATTCTTATTTTGGTTTACATTGTGCAATCCAAGAAAAATTACATGTAATATAACTAATTTGTCTTGTTCTATGAAAGGAGTTAAGTTATGTTTTGTGCGCACATAAAAACAACTAAATGTTTGCTTCTATTTATTTATTTATTTATTTATTTATTTATTTCTTACAGAGAGAGAGCCACACAACCATGTGGACCTCATCTGGCTATTTCTTTCTCTCTCTAAGTAATTTAGGATAACTACTTTTGTTTTTTTAAAGATATTCGAATAGAGCTTTGGTGCAAAAAAAATTTTTACATATAAAAGGTCAAATATGTATTAATAAAAAATAATATTTACAACTAAATGTCATAACCACATACCAGAGGTAGATAGCCAAGGAGAAAAATTGTAGATGTAAAAAAAATAATTTTCCTCATTGATGTTGAGGCTATGTAGATTAAATTTTCATGAAAAATCAATGAATATCTTGGATGATAGGATTTGTAGATTGCTTCTTGATTGATCTAGAGGAGATAAAATCTTTCCTTACATAATAGATCTGGATTCCTTCTTTCGCGGCAATATGAGATAGGCAATAATTGACAATCTATCAAAGGGCTGCTCTTAGGCATAAAGCCGAGAAGCAATATAAGCATTGTAAATTAAAATATCAAATAGGAAGGAAAGTTTTTGAAAGAATTTATTACTTCATACATAGGTGTGCATTGGTTAATTTAGTTAGAATATTCAGTTTTAGATCAACCAAAATCAATGAATTGAACTAGCCTAAAAAGTTAGATTGAATCAACTTGAACATTGCTTGATAACCAAAATAATACATACAGTTCATCTTGATTATTTAGTTTAGATTATTAGTGTTAAATAATACCTTAAAATAGTTTCATTTTTTAAAAGCATCAATGTAATCACAAAATATAACTTTCTAAAATGCATATGCATTTAAATCCAATTATTCAAACCTAGATAATAACTTCTATAATGTATTTAAAAGAATTTCATGTAACATCCTCAAATTTCAAAAATTGGAATTTAATGTTTTAACAAGGGAAAATTAGTAAATTTAAGCATTTTTTTGAATTAAATGTGTTTCTAGACCACTAATAGGTTTACTAGACCTTTTGAAAGCTTTAGAAGTGGAATAGGATGGAGATCAGGTCAACTGGGCTAAGTGTAAAGCTAAAATTTGATTTAGCAATGTTGTGCCATTCGCTACTGCAGATGCACCTTGCATCATGACAGATGTGCAAAAATTTAATTTTATCATATGTGTTTAGCAACATTTAACATTTTAACACTCTAAATATGCCATCTAATAGAAGGAGAAATCAATGTAACACTAGAATACTTATAGTGGAAAAAAAGTTTCTACTTTTTTAAAATTTAACTCCTTTTGTTCTTGAAAAACCATAAAATTCTTTTCTTTCTTTTTGTAATATGGCATACTTAGTAAGTATAGATAAGGAGATATCATTCACTAATTGGTTTAGGACTATTCCAGTTGAAACTTTGCTTTACTTTAAATCATTTATATCCTTAGAACCTTAGTGAGTTCTCAATCTTTACCTTTCTTATTTCTATCTTTTCTTTAACCTAGTATAGTTTACTCTCTAAATCTCACCTCATATCATAAAACTTAAATCATAAAAAGCATTCTTATGAATATCATTATAGTTAAAAAGACTACTCTATTGTAAGCCACCATTCTATACCTTTGCTTTTCCTTTGTCGATCCCACTTGTGCCTGAAATGTTAGTCAAAGAGAGTGAGATTCGAAGAATCTCAATAGCAACTATACTACTCATGTATTCACAGCATGATATACCTTTTCATAAAACATCTAAGAAAAACTATATATGTATAAACTTTATAGTCATAGTATGGAAATTCACATTGGCCAAGGAATCCAACATAACATCATCATCATCATAAGCACACATGGTAAATATTTCATCTTAATATGGTAAAAAATGAATACAAGAGTTAGTAGTCGTTAGTTACCTACTACCAGTTTATCCCTTAAAGCCTTCGACCTTAGAGTTTGATCACAAATACCAAATCCTATCATAAGATAATACTAAGGTTAACATTCATACAAAGCTTCTTTTATAAGCAAAGAAAGCACCATAGCCTACCTTGACTTAATAGTTGACCTTAAGACAGAAAAGGTGACTCACTTTGGCTTAAGAACATACGACTGTAACATATAAACTTAAACTTCTTTAGCCCATAATGACTAGCTTTATGTGGCAACAAGTGCCTTATAAAACTCATGTCTAGTCTAGGCCCAAACATAAAACATACATCTAGTAACTTGAACTTTAGGAATTCTCAAGTTTTTGCCCCATATATATTTTCTAGAATTTTGTATTAATTATGAAGAATCATAACTAATTCAAAAAAAAATATCATTTGGGCATTATCTTAGTCTCTAAATAAAACCTTGGGATGTCCTCTATAAATAAAAATTATTTATAGAAAGCCTTCTTTGCTTCAAAAACCACTTATAGCATTGAGATCCCCATTGTTCCAGATTAAAAACATAGCTATTTCTAGTTTTCACGCCTAAATTTAAAAATTCATAACTCAGTCAATACTATATGAGCATGATTACAGTGTCCATTTATCCATCTTAAACCTAATTTTAAGATAAAAATATCATGCAGACCATTCTGTAAGCTCATAATTCCATAATCATAAGCAAAGTTCACTTTAGCTAAACTCACTTCGGGTGACTTCAAGATTTCTAGGCTTAATTTAGAGAGATCATAAATTTTTCTACACTTATTTTTTAACATGAAATAGGACTAATTTTAAATCTGATCATATCTATTAAAACATATCCTAATTTTATAGCCAAAATAGAAGTGCACAATCTAGAAAGTATCACAAAACCAACCAAACTCTAAACTAGGCAGTGTTGAACTTATGGTTGTATCTCATATCCTTTGGGTTTGAAACCATAACTTGTTTTAAAACACTTCCATCCTTTAATACACACATAAATCAACATTAAACAACATTTTCCAAGCTTTTTAAGACTTCATACATGTCCAAAAACTTACTAGAAATTTCATACAAAATAACCCCTTGGAGAAAAATCACATGCATGCTCCCTACTTGATGCTTTCTATCAAGACCATCAACATACAAGACCGTAAGTGATCAAGAATCAAACATTTCTCCTAAAAATAGCCCTTTAGGATTTTAGTCAAATGAAGAAGAGAATGATTGAGCCATTAAAACTTACATGCAATTGAAGAATCAAACAGAGAATGGAAGGAAACCTAAAGAAATCACATTTACCTTTGGTTTTTGACCTTGGATCTTCAAGATCTCTCTTCCACTTCAACTTCACTCTCTAATCTACTTCAAATTTCTCTCCTCTCTCTCTTGCTTTGGCCAAAATAGAGAAATGGAAGGCAAGAGAATGACTTAACTTATATGTAGATAAAAGGTAATGACACTTGTGTAAATATGGTCTTGCATGGTACCCAATTATAAGCTATTTTCTTCTTGTGTTTTCATAATTGAATAATTAAATTCAAGTCATCTTCTCCCATAAAGTGACAAGTGGCTTTGTGCATGTGAAATGGTGTAGGGCCTACTTTGACTTCTCATCACACTTTCAAGTACAGGGCTAACTGTCATCTATTATTGAATACTTTGGTAATCCTGCTTACCAGATGCATGATTTCACATACTTCCATAAGGTTGATCCAAATAATATATCCTTAAACATTTCATTCTACTAAACTTCTCCTTGCTTTGCATGCTAAAACACTATACTAGTATAAATCCCTTCTGGGACAATTAACTATCTTGAAATTTGTGTCTTTCCTTTCTGTGCATAATAATAATAATAATTTCTCTTTATTTATGCACATATCTAATTTTATTTATCACATCATAAAGTGTGTAATTGGCTACAGCTTCTACAAGGGCAATCATTGACATAAATAAGCACCTTTAAGTTCTAAGCTAATGCATGAAATTTAGGATGTTACACTCTCAAGTATCTGAATTAGAGATAGAGGAAAAGAAAACTAAGAAGGGTAGCAGAGGATGAAATTTTTCTACTAAGGCTTCATCATTTAACCACTTTGGAGGCAATCTAGACTACATTAACACTTAGATATGTATCTTAACTCTTCTTACTATTGAACTAGGGTTTAGATGAACCCTACACTTAAATTTAGTTTTGGGAACAATGTGGGTGGAAATTTAGTGTTATCTAGGTTTATGAATGTTATATAGGGCTAATGAAATGTTATATAGGAGTTTTGGTTATGTTTAAAAAGAAAATATGGGTAGGGTGAGTACCC